AGTGGGGTGAAGAGTGGTAATTTGGGAATATAAAGCACACAAACTAATTTAAAATTTACCAGTGAGCAATACATGTAGATATGTTATTGCTGAGAAACAAATGCAATATCTTTCTCTGAAACAGGTATAGAAAGCTCAAGTGGCCAAAAGATTATAACCTTAGGAGGTATGATTGGGTGTAGCATAGGCACAAATTGTGATCAGGTCTTTTCACATTCTTGGTGACTGCTGATCCATCCAGTCTATCTAGAGTGTCCTCTTTTGTTGGGTTCGTTTTGTGGAGACCCTTATTTCTACTTGAGGCTATTGCACCAAGTTTCTCCTCTCCTTAATGAATTCTTGGTAATAACAAAATGACAGCTGTTGATTAGAAATGGGGCGTGTTGCATATGTTATCGTTTACTCTTTACAATCGTAAGATGGAAAGTGAATTTTTATTTATAAATGAAGATATTAAAGATCAGAAAGAAAAATTTGCCTGGTTTCTTAGCCTGTAAGTGGTCAGGTGTTCTGCTTACACGTTACTGCATAACAAATTACCCAGAAGTTTAATGACTTATAATATCATCATTTTATTATAATCCATAATTTTGTGAGAAATTCCATATCTCTGGAATTTGGGCAGAGTTCAGCAGGGATGACTGATGACTGGGGATGGAGAATCTATTTCTAAGTTAACTCACCTACATGGCTGGCAACTGGGCTGTTACCCCAGGTCTCTTCTGGTGGGTTTTTGGGCTTCCCCCGTAGCTTGTGTGCTAGGTTCCAAGAGCACATGTTCCAAAAGACAAAAGAGGATGTCAATTATTTAAGGCCTGGTCCCAGAAATGGATATGATATCACTTTCACTATGTTTTCTTGCCCATGAAGTCATGGAGCCCTTTTAGATTCAGAAAGGGAATATAGTGACAAAGAATTTGCAGCCATATTTAATCTACCATGCAGAGCAAAGATTTCAGGTCTTGGTTGCCACACCATATTGCATCTCAACTAATACCATCCCTGATGCATTTCTCAATTGCTGAATTTATCCTTTGAATTACAATGATTAACCTGTGAGCTCCCTGAGGGCAGGGTCATGGCTTATGCATCTTGGGTTAGACATAATACCTACTTGGTCATAGTCCATACTCCAAAAATGCTGAAGGGAGGGATGAAAGAGAGCTGAGCTTCAGTCCCAGCTCTGTTTCTCAGGAGCTCTGTGGGCCAGATCAGGACACTGAACAGCTCTGGGCCTTGACACCATCTTAATAACATGAAGGGATGGGATCAAATAGTCCCTAAAATCTCTTCCTTTTTCCTAGCACTAACATTGAAAGAGTCTGCTTGATTTGCTATGATAAAATGCTATAAACAGTGTGCCTTAAACAATAGACACTTATTCTCACAGTCGTGGAGACTGAGAAGTCTAAGACCAAGGTGTTCAATGGTTCTGGATGGGTGCCATCTTTCCAGCTTGCATATGGTCAACTTCTTGCTGTGGCAGTAGGGACAGGGAGAGATCTGGTGTCCCTTCCTCTTCTTATAAGGACACTAATCCTATCATGGGAGCTTTAATCTCATGACCTCATCTAAACTTAATTACACCCCAAACCCCCATCTCCTAATGTCATCACGTTGAGGATCAAGGCATCAGTGTGAATTTTCGGGAGGCAAGCATTCAGTCCACAGCAGCCAGTCTACTAATATGCTCAAGCCAATTAGTTACAAAATAAAGAGAGCTCCAATAAAGATCTCAAAGAGAGAAGTTCAAGAATCAAGAAACCTGAGAATAAAAATAAAGGACAAGAGGAAATGGGTTTGTTCTTTGAACAAGTGCAAATGACTCTGGAGAGAAGGAGCTCATGTATCAGACAATGCAAAAATTTTCAGAGATGAAATGATTAGATTATGAGAGGCATAACCTAATCAGTGGATTAGTTCACTGATATGGAATAAAGAGGTGGAACTGCGGTAGGCAGATAGGGTGTGGCTGGAGGAAGTAGGTCCCTGTGGATATACCTTTGGAGTTTATGTTTTGCTCTTGATGAGTGAAGCTAGATCCTTCCACCATAATGTTCTGCCTTACTTGGGCCCAGAGCCGTGGGGTCTATAGACCAGGGACAGAAAATTCTGAAACCAAGCACCCCAAATAAACTTTTCCTCCTCTAAACTGTTCTTGTCAGATATTTTTGGTCACAGCTACACAAAAGATGACTAAAACAAGAAGGTGAGCATTAGCTTCAGATACAGATATTTAAATTATGATGATAATACTTAGAATAGAAAGAAAAGAAGTGGAACCTTTGTTTTATTTATTTATTTTTATGTGGTGCTGAGGATCAAACCCAGGGCCTTGCACACAGTAGGCGAGCGCTCTACCACTGAGCCACAACCCCAGCTCAAAGAGGCCTTTTTTTAAATGGTGAAAACACAGAATTGGGGACTATTTGGTTATAGGAGGTGAGAGAAAATATAATAAAGGGGACTTCATGTTTTGTATCTGGGTGACAGGGGATTGCACATTTATGTAACGTTGGTAGAGATACCATGTAGGTATGTCTGGGCTCCTCTCAAAATCTCTGAATTCATAATTTCTGGAGATGTAGCTTAGAACATCAATATATTTCAAAGTCTTCCAGATAATTTCATTATGCTACGAAATTACAGAAAACTGAGAACAAAAAGCTGACACCAATTAACTTAGGTTATGAGATGTGTAGTATGCAGAATAATGGTCTCCCAGAGGTCTAAAACCCGATCATCAGAACTGATCAATGGATTAGGTTTCATGTCAGAGGGGAATTAAAGTTTAAAATAATTTTAAAAATTATTTATAATAGCTGCTGGGAATGTTTATGATCAAATGTCAGAAGAATAAAAACAATATTGTATGATTGTCACTAAATTCCCCCAACAAAGTCAGAGGCAAGGATTTCCCAGGAGTTTTTCTCAGTAATGTTACTTGACTTGTGTGCACCTTCACAGATTTAAAGGCTGACAAAACACTTGTTTTACCTTAATGGTTTTAAATTACTTAAGTCAGCAAAGGAAGCAGATAGAATCTGCAGCTTCCACATAGCTCACCACCTGACTATAACCGGGAGCTTAATGTTCCTATCACTCTCCTTTAATCAGATCTGTAGACCCTGCTGACTTCTTTTCATTGGATTTCTCTGAATAAGGAATAATTTGATCATGAGGGACATAGTTACACACGCATGTGAGGAGATACAGTCAGAAACACAGACTCAGAGATGGCAAAGAAACTCCATCTTCCCATGTGTCCATTTATTTTCATGAACAAGTATTTATTGATATATGTTATATGTTGCCTGAACATATTTCGTGTTAGGGATCCATCAATGAATGCGATAGGAAAGGTCTCAGCCTGGTGGAGAATAGAATTTATAGCAGAGTAGAAAATACAAATCTCAAAGTGTGGTACCTGGATCCTCACTATCAGCAAACTTTGGGAGGTTACTCCAGATGAAAATTCTCACATCGGGTAAGCCAGAGTATGAAGCATGGAATTCTGGGGAAGAGACATAGAAACCCATGTTTTAACAAGCTCTGTGAGTGATTCAGATACATGCTTCAATGAGAACCAGAATCTCTCAACAGGATCATTTTTATATCAGATTGATGCTTCGACCTCACACCCAGAGATACTGATTTAATTGGACTGGGATAGAGCCCAGGTATGAGCATTTTTAAAGCCCCGCATGATTATGATATGATTTTAATGACAGCCAGGCTTAAGACCACTTATTCATGCTGACACTTGAAGCACAAGTTAGTCAGGCACTGGAGCCTGGGGAGAGGGCAAGAAGGGTTGTTCAGGCAGATATGCAAAAAAATCAAATGTAGGAGGGAGTTTGGTAAGGTTAGTGAGTACACACAAAACTCCATGAATTCAAATAGGTGCATAACTGCAAATTTAAGTATTTACCACAGTGCTTCTTAAACTTTAATGTACATAGACATGATATGAGGATCTCGTAGAAACACAGACTCTTATTTAGTAGGTTGGGGGTAGGGGACAGAATGGTTCCGCATTTCTAATGAGCTTGGTGATGCTGATGTTACTGGTCTGCGGACCACACTTTGAGTAGCGAGGTTCTATTGCCTCAACCTTCCCTGGGCATAGGAGAGAGTGGATAGGGACTGCAGGAGGATATATATGTATTAGCCCCAGGGCCAACATAAGGGCATCCAGTTGGAAAGAATGGCGGACATCGGTTGCTGATGGGCATATTTAGAGGGTAGGTAAAAAAGATGCAGCCTAGAACAACCTCCGTGCCTACACTTCTGATCTTTACCCATCAAGGTCGTACTGCTTTTAGCTCAGCAGTACCTCCCCCGCGCCCTCCCCGCGCCAATCTAGCTGAGTGCATCCCCGGTCAGGCCAGCAGACCAGCTCATTAAGTGACCGCTGGAGCTCTCTGTACCGTGCCAGCCAGCCAGGGAGGCGCTGGCCGAGGACAGGCGCTCTCCTGGGGCTTGTCTCCCTCTTCCCACCTTCCCTCTCTGGCAGCGTGGTGCCTGCGGCAGAACCTCCCTCTGCAGCAGCCCCTTGCACTTGGCTCTTACTTCTGGGCGCTGTCCGTGGTTGCAGCATCTTTCGGCTCGCCACGTCAGGAGGCCGCAGTGGGGCCC